ATTGGAGGTTTTGGGAAGTTGCATTTTATTGTTATGATTTAAGGATTTTATTATTTAGTATTCGTTCAGCGTTATTATTTATTTCTTTAATTCATTATTTTGTATTCCGTGTTTGTTTTAACATATTAATTGTTTGGTATTCCCTCGGGCTCGGACTTGGGCCTGATCAACCCGTGTCTCAGATCCGAGGGGTATCACATCAAGGTGCTGTTGGACATGGAGTCACGGAGCCAGAGGATCGTCAGTGGCTGGTGTGGTGTAGAACGATAAGGTGTGAGTGATGAGTGCTAAAAAATGCGCATTTAAGCCCCTTAAGCTTGAGTGTTCTAGGACCTTTATCTATCTTATTTTCCCGTTTTAGACTAATTTCGTGTTATTTCCCTTTTTAGGTCAATAAAGTTAAAACGAGCTAAAAATGGCTTCTTAAGGCCTTTTGGAGTCAAACGAAGTCTTTGTGAGAATTTGGAGCAAAAGGAAGCTCATTTGGAGTAAAAAGATGCTGATGCTGAAAAACTGCCAAATGAGATAGATTGCAGAAAAGTGAGATCGATCAGAGTTGGATCGATCGAACCCAGATCGATCAAAAGTTGGATCGATCGAACAAACTCTGATCTATCGAAGAAAAGTCTGATCGATCGAAAGTATGCTGGCAGTGAGCTGTCAATTCTTGAGCGTGCCGATTTTTACCTACCACATAGTTACGGGATTAGATATTTTTGGGCTATATTTCTGACTTAGTGACTAAGAAAAGGACCTTGTATTTAAAGAGAATTGAACCATTTTGTAAGGAATGAATCAAAAGCTTTTTAATATTTTATTTTTACATTGTAATTTTTTTTTCTCTCTAGAAAAGTTAGAGATTAGGGTTAGAAGAAAAGGGAAGTGGAGGCACATCTCAAAACCCATCTCTAGATCCACATACTCTCTCTCTCTAGAGCTTTAAAGAAGAAGGGAAGAAGAAGAAGATGGAGCCATGTTTGGAGCTTCCTCTTGGGGGTTTCATGACCACATCCACCTCTTTATGATTGGCTACATCTACACTTAGGGCTTGGATGAGCACTAAGTCTTATGTAATCTAAACCCTTGTATTTATATTTTTGGGGATTTATATATATATTGTTGTGATTAGTGGTTAGCCTTGTGATTGTTAATTCAATTCTTCCTTATGATTCTCTATTTTAATTACATGTGGTCTTATGTGTGATTATTTGGGAATTGATCTCTACATTAGATTTTTTATGTTAGTTGCATGTCTATGTGTGATTAATTAAGGATTTAGTGATGGCTATGCATGGGTTTTCATTGAATGGGTTTGTAAACTAATTTGATGGATTATACTTACACTTGATGGGTTGTTCTACAATTTAATTCATGTTTATAGCTAGGTAGACAATCTATGCTTGATTTGATACTCCACACTTATTATTGCAAATTCCATGATTCTCTAGATTAATGTGTGCTTTCATTAGACCCATTTGTTAACTAATTGGTGGATTATGCCTTTATCTTGGTAGGTTGTTTTACACTTAGTTTACTTGTTGGTTAGGTAGACAATTCACTCTTGCATTAGATAATTCACACTTTTGCATGCAAATTGTGTTTATGTTTGTGGCCACATCTTGATTGCAACAAAGTATTCCCCATTAATGGAAAGCAAGTGGTTAATTACATGAGCTTAGTGGTGATTTCAACACCCTAAGACCTCTCTTCATATCTCTTAAATCCCTATCTCTCACTAGTTTACTTTAGTTGCATTTTAATTTCATTCCACCTTAGTGTAATCAAACAATCAACCATTCTTTGCAATCTTTTGATATGCTAGAGTTGAAGTTAAATTCCAACACGTATAATCTCTGTGGACGATCCCTACTCACTATACTTCATTAGTTGTAGCAGTGGTTTTTATAATTATAAATTTGACTAGAAAAGCTTCTGAAACCACATTCATATTTTGACCTTGCGAAGCGACCTCTCGCATTAAAAAGTCCATTTTCTAAACACTTGGAAAGGGGCTCGTCAAATTTTGGTGCCGTTGCCGAGGATTTACGGTTTTGTTGGAATTAAACTAGACAATAGTGTTCATTTGATTGCTTCTATTTTTATTTTATTTTTAATTGTATATTCTTTTCTCTTGTTCTCATTATTATTTGTCGATTAGGTACTTGACTGCAAGAATGGCGAACTTTGGAGCTTGAAGCAATCATTGGAGCTTGAAGCTAGCATTAAAATTTGAAGTTGCTTAAGGACCTTTGTGAGCAATTCTTGGAACTCTTGTATGTTAGTTGTGCACTTCTTTGCATGCTTGTGATAGCCCTTGTGGAGGTTAATTTCATTGCTTTATTTTAAGTCCAAGCATCGGCCCATGTGGAGGCCAAAAATTTTTCTTGCATTTGGATTTTAATTGTGAATGGAGGAATTATTTGATCCAAGTTTGGGGGAAAATTACTTCCCCTCACCTTATGTCCCTCCACCATATTTTGATCCTTATGAGGTTGAATCCAATTCATTTCAACATGCATCATCTTATTATGGACTTGACTATTCTCATTATCCTCCTTGTGACTATTACCCTCCCCCACCATTTTATAAAGAACCAAATCCACCACCTTCTAGGTACTCACCCGGATTTGAAGAAAAAGTGTTAGCTTTACTTGATGTGCATATTTCACAAACTCCACTTATTGATTCTCATTCTCAAACTTTAGCCAAGCTTGAAGTTCAAGTTGAGCAAATTGCAAGTACTCTTTATCGTCAAGAAAAGGAGGAAGAGGAAAATGAAAAAATGGCAAGACCTTCAATGTATATAGATGAGGATGGTGAAAATGAAGAGGAAGAAGTAGCAAGTGAGCTAATGCCTAGCACTCTATCTTGTATAGAGGAGGCAGTGGCAAGTGAGTTAGTGGCTAATCCAATAGAGCAAAACATGATTAATGAGGACTTTCCTTGTTTCGATCATGATTTTATCTCAGCCGTTGATACTTTAGAGAGTGAGGAGATGTTGACCACTAAAGAGGTAGGAGAGAAGAAGGAGAAACTTGTTAAAGTGGACCTTCTTTCTATTATCTTCCAAGACCCTCTTGAGACATGCTTTTTCGAAATGTATAAAAATTGTGGTTTTGACCTTGAAAGCTCTAAAAACGAAGTGAACTCTCTAATAGACGCCTTAGCTAACTTGGAGGGTGAGGAGATGGTGATTTTTTAGGAAGAAAAGAGGGATGAAGAGAGGATGTTTCTTATTAATCCAAATGAGTCTTTGAAAGACAATGCCTCACCAATTATCAAAGTAAATGATCATTTGAATCTGTTTCAAGAACACAACAAAGAGGTAAGCCTAACCATGATTGATTTTGTTTCAAGATCGTGGATGAAAGGAACGAAATCATCTCTTTCATTTCTTTTCAGTCATTGTTTTGGAGGATGATTTCATTGTTGTAAGTGGGACATTAAATGAGAAAAATGAAAAGAGGATCAATAAGGATGTTTCATATTCAGTTTTTTATTCTTTTGATTAGTGAGTTGACCCAACATCTTGCTAGAGATGTTAAACACTAGTATTCGTAGAGTTTCACAACTCTATTCCTCCCTTATTTCTTTTATTTTTCGTTCTTGTGTACATTCTTCCATCCATTTTTCAATTTCCATTCTTGTTACAATCATTGGGGCTTAGCATAGAATTTTCTGCACTTTCAACCCAGGATGTGCAAGCAATGCAAGGGGTATGACCACTCTGAAAATAAGTGTCCATTGCAGTTACCAAAGAGGAAAGTTTCTACTGAATGGGTAGTCAAGCAGAAGGGTAAGTTTGTGTCAGTGCAGAACCCAATTGAAGAAGTGGAAACCAAGTTAAAGCGGCAAAATGATAAGAGAATCGAGAATGATAAAGTTGAGTCTAATCAAATGATGGTGTATGAAGAACTGGATAATGTACCTCCAGTGGAAGTTAGGGATATTATTCAGAAGACAGTTGTAGAGGGAGTTTACCCATTAGCAAGTCTGCCGTAGGGAGAAGATTTTCCAGCAAATGATGAATTGAATATCCTTAATAAATCATTTTCTAATGAGATTATGAATGTGGGTTTACTTATCTCAAATAAGGAGGATGAGGTTGTTACTACACCTTTTTGTTCTACTAACCTTATTTCCAGTCCAAAGGAGGAGGGACTTAAAGTTGGGGAGCAGTCTGGAACTATTCAAGTTATGTCCGAAAAGCAGATTAAGAAGAAGAATAAGAAGGTTGAAATTGACACAGAAAATTTTAGACTCACTAGAGGGATGGTGGCTGCTAATCCACCAAACCTTTTAAACAAATGATAGGTCTTTGGAATGTAAGGGGGCTCAACAGGAATCAAAGGCAGGTGGAAGTTAAAAAGTGGTTGAGCAAATTCCCTTTATCTTTGGTTGGTTTGGTTAAAACTAGAGTGCAGGAGTCTAGGTTTCAACCTATTTCTCAGAATCTCAGACATGATTGGAGATGGATTAACAACTACAGTGCTCATCATGGGGGAAGGATATGGTATGGTAGGGATCCTCTAGTGTTTGATGTCCAGACTCATGATATTAGGGCTCAAGTTATGCTAATGGAGGTTACAATTCGAACTAGAGGAGTGAAGTTTTTGTGCCTATTGTATATGCTGCTAATACAGTGGTTGAAAGAAGACAATTGTGGAGTGATCTGTTAAATTTCTATCAGATTGTTCATGGGGCTTGGATTTTAAATGGTGATTGGAATATTGTGAGGTATAATCATGAAAAGAAGGGGGGAAAGATCATCCTCCTGGGGTTCTCAGAGAATTTAACCATTTGATTGATGTTCTAAGTATTACTAATATACTAGTTTTGAATGGAAGTCACACTTGGTGTAATAATCAGTTTGGTAGGCAAATGATTTATGGCCAATTGGATAGAGCTCTTATGAGTGATGCTTGGCATAACTCCTTTCCTGTATCTCAAGTATTGTTAGCCTCTCATTTAATTTCTGATCACTGGGGATTGTGCGTGCAATGTCAAGTGCTTCAGGCCCTAAACCATTCAGATTTCTTCAAGTGTGGAATACTCAACCTGCAATTTCTCAAGTGGTGGAAGAGGCTTGGAAGAGGAAAGTTAAAGGAGAACCAATTCAAATTTTGTGGCAAAAATTGAAGATCACAAAGGCTGCAGTTAAAAATTGGAATACAATGAAGTTTGGTTCTGTGTTTGAGGGTGTTTGCAAAGCTAGAAGTAATCTTGAGGCCTGCCAAATGGAAGTTCAGCAAAATCCAATGGATGTTGAGAGTATCCAGAAGGAATTCAATGCTAGGATGGAATTTGAATCTGCTTTAACCAATGAGGCTGTGATCCTTGCTCAGAAGGCTAGAATTAAATGGGTTAAAGACCTTGACAGAAATTCAAAGTTCTTTTACCAAAAGATCAAGCAACATAGAGCATGTAATAATATCACAGTGTTGGAGGATGGGGATGGAGTAATCACTCATGACTCAAATATTATTCAGGAGAGGTTGATTGACTATTTTAGGGAGCTATTTACAGAACATGATTGCGCTGATATCCATGTATCAAAAAATTTTATTAGGAAGAAACTATCAGTGGAAGATGCTACTGCCCTTGAGGTTCCTATCACTAGGTTGGAGGTCAAGCAAATTGTATTTGGCATGGGAGCTGATAGAGCCCCTAGACCTGATGGGTTTACATGAGGTTTTATCAACAATACTGGAGAATTGTGGGTGAAGATGTCACTAATGCTGTACTTCAATATTTTCAAAATCCAACTTTGGGAAAAGGTATTAATAGCACCTTCATTACACTTATACCAAAGAAGAAAGAAGCTATTAAAGTTGGGGAGTTCAGACCTATTTCTCTATGCAATGTTTTGTATAAAGTTATCACTAAGATTCTTGCAGTTAGATTAAGTGAGTCTTTTGGAAATTTGGTGGGACAAGAACAAAATGCTTTCATTAAGGGAAGGAAAATCCAAGATAACATAATTTTGGCTCATGAATTGCTGAAAGGGTTTGGTCACAATCATACCAAACCAACCATTACATGGAAGGTGGACATCAAAAAGGCCTATGATTCAGTTAAATGGGATTTTTTAATCCAGTTGTTGAACAAGTTCGGTTTTGGTAATAGATGGATTGGGTGGATTAAAGAATGTATCTCAACTGTTTGGTTCTCTTTGCTGATAAATGGAAGTTCTGCCGGGTATTTCAAATCAAGTAGGGGGTTAAGATAAGGTTGACCCTTATCTCCTCTTCTTTTTACCTTGCTTATAGAATACTTATCAGGAATGTTTGCTTTTGAAGTTAACAGAGGTAATTTAGTGATTTCTGAGGCTGCCAGAATGGCTGAGGTGCCTGTTTCACATCAACTCTTTGTAGATGATTTGTTGATTGTAGGTAGAGCTAACTTGGGCAGTGTTGTAACTTTGAAAAGGCTTATGAAACAATTCGAATGTACCTCTGGTCTGGGGGTTAATAAAGAAAAATCTGAAGTTTATTTAACTAGGACAGTAAAGAGAAGCAAAACTATACTTTCTATTCTTGGTTGCAAGCTGGGTAAACTTCCATTCAAGTACATGGGATTAGAGATTGCAAACCTCTTATTGAGAAAGTGATTGCATCTACCATTACTTGAGCAGGGCTAAAGCTTTCATTAGCTGGGAAAGTGGAGTTGGTGAGGGCAGTGATCACTCCTCTGGTGTATTACTGGGTTTCTGTTTTTTCTTTGCCCACCACAGTGATCAATACCATGGAAAGAAGGACGAGAAACTTCATTTGGGGGCATAAGGATAATGTGAGAAAGCTTCATGGTTTAGGGTGGAAGAAAATTACTGCTCCTAAAGCTGAAGGTGGATTTGGTATTTGAAGATTAATGGACATCGACAAGGCTGCAAAGTGTTCTCTTGCCTGGGATTTCCTGATTTCAAAAGACAGATTATGGGTGGCTTGGTTTAGAAATTGTTATGCTAGAAATACAGCTCATTGGCAAGCTGTAGTTCGTGATATTTATTCATCTACCTGGAAGAACATTGTTGCAGTCAAGGAGGTGATGTTGTTAGGATGCAGTTACAGAATTGGAGATGGCTCTTCCATAAAGCTGTTCTTAGATCCTTGGTGTGAAGGCTTTCTATCCCATAAATTTAGTTATAGGATGTTAAGAGCTTTGTATCCTGTGAAGGACACACCCCTAAGTTATTTAATTTCTAATAACGCTTGGGATGTGGATAAATTTACTGCTGATCTTCAGGAGATGCTTTAGTTTTGCAGTCAGTATAGTATTTTTGGAGGTTCAGACAAAGTGTTGTGGCAGAGGGCTGAGTTTACTTTCAGAGCTGCGTGGGAGGTTTGTAGGGTTACTATTCCAGAAGTTAATTGGTTTATTTTGTGTTAGAATGGGGGAAGACCTCGTTGGTCAGTGCATGCAGTGTTAACACTTCAGGAAGGGATTTTAACACATACCAATCTCCAAAGAAGGGGAGTTCAGTTAGCTTCTAGATGTGCCTTATGTTTGGGTAATGTGGAGAGCACTGAGCATATGTTCTGTCAGTGTGAATTGACAAAGCTGGTTTGGTATGGTTTGGGGGAGATTTTGAATTGGGATATTACGGGTTGGTTATCACTTGAGGGATTCAAGACAGTTTTAGTGCAGCAAGTGAAGATAAATTCTTTCCAGAACAAGTTGCTTCGAATGGTGTTTTCTGCTACTCTTTATTTTATTTGGAATGAAAGGAATCGTCGGTTACATGATGAGGGTTCTAGAAATCATATGGTTTTAGTTAAATGTATTATTTGGGATGTTATGGATGTCTTGGGGTTATGCCTCTAGGATATCATAGGAACTTGAATGCTTTTGATTTCTAGGGTTTCTTTTGGTGTATCCCTCTATTTATGGGATATTGTGAGGGTACTCCTCATGTGTAATTGTACTTTTACTTGAAAAATTTATAAAATTTCCGTCATTTAGGAAAAAAAAAAAAAAAAAAAAAAAAATGAGGCATCCAGTGCCTATTCGATCGATCACAAGAGATATTCGATCCATCGAACATCATCTCTGCATATTCTCGTCTCTCTGTTCCATCGTTCGAAGATTCTCTGCATATTTTAGGTCTTTGTGTATCGTTCGAACTTTTTCTCCGATCGATCCAAGTTCTTTCGATCGATCTGGATACCCCTGTGATTGATCTCAGTTTTATACTTAAAAAAAATTAAAAAATTAAATAAAAATAAATAAATTAAAGCTCTGTAATTTTCATGCCCTCTATCCCATCATGTGAGCATAGAGATAGATCATGGTGTGATCGATCGAAGTCAAGATCGATCACAGCTTTGTCCCCTTGACTTTTTGACTTTTTCCACTTTCTATTTTTATTTCATTTTCTTTTACTTTTGTTATTTTCTTTTATTTTATTTTATTACTTTTCTTTGTGAAAAAAAAAAAAAAAAGTTATTTCTTTGCATTTTTTATTTACTTGCTTTTTTATTTTTGTTTGTGTACAGACTTGTTTTGTCTAAAACAAAAAAAAAAAAAAAAAACACCAAAAGCACCAAAAAAATAATTTTTCAAAGTAGCATTCCGTCTTACTAGAGACGTTAAACTTAGCACCCATTTTGTATATTACTTGCATGCTTTATTTTTCTTTGCGTGTTTTAAAAAAATAAAAATAAAAAGAGATAGTTTTTATTTTTCATTTTTCATTATTTTGTTCTTGCATCATTTCTTACCTTTTGTTTTTCATTTCTTACATTGTACATATTCTTTCAATGCATTTTATCTTCTTTATTTTTCTTTTTATATTTTGTTTATGCATTTGATTCCTTGATTTTCTTGCATTTTGTATATACTTGCTTTCATAAAATGAAAAATAGAAAAATTTGTTTCACCATTCTGCCCTTATGTGTAGTTATGCATACTTTCATGCTTTAGCTAGGGCTTGATCTTATATCTCTTTTTCATCTTATGCTATATTGCCTTAGAATGCTTGATTTAGTTATCTGTATTGTAATGACCCGGTCATTTCCTTCCTTTCCTTTTTCCTTAGAATTTTACGGATGAATTTTTTTCGTTGAAATTCCTTTTCTAAGTTCGGTTTCTCGTCGTTTAGTGTCGTCTCGAGTGCTCAGAAATGGTTTCTGAGACTCTTTCCTTTGTATTGACAACTTCCTTTGAGGACCGAGTTATTTCCACATTTTTCATTTTTTTTACACTATTCCTGCCCAGATTTCTTACCCGGAAAATAAGTTGATTTTTTTGAAACTTTGAGGCTTCATATCTTCATCATCCGGACTCCAAATCAAGTGATTTTTCAGTCTAAGTTTATTGGTTTTTGCTGGTCTATATAACGGTATATACGGTTGCATCAAATTATATCTGAAAAGACCATTTTAACCCTTGTAAATTGCCCTTGCCGCACTGATTTTAAACCTAAAAGTTGGTTTTTATGAAACTTTGACGTTTCATATCTTCTTCGTCCGGACTCTGAATCAAGTGAGTCTAGATTCATTAATTTTTCCTGGTCTATCTAACGATATGCTCAGTTGCATCTAGTTTTGTCTAAAAAGAACATTTTATCCCTTGCGAAGTACCCTTGCTGCATTGATTTCAAACCCAAAAATGTGATTTTTATGAAACTTTGGAGTTTCATATCTTCTTCATCCGGACTTCGAATCAAGTGATTCTTGGGTCTAATTTGATTAAATTTTTGCTGTCTTTCTAGTGGTGTGCTCGTAGCACCCAATTTTATATTTTTAGAAATGACCATTTTGCCCTTGGGGGCCTGTTCGGTCTTTTTCTGATCATTCGTTCCCGCATCAGTTCTCATTGAGTTCTACAACCTCATGGAAGGTCACTTTAACTTCTTAGAGAATTATTTTCTATTTTCACTTCCGCATTCGGATCCGTTATCGGGTCAATCTTCGGTTCATCACAGGACGCACTAGCTTGAAAAACCAGGGCCGTCATAGGTGGTATCAGAGCTCCTAGGTTCGAAAACCTTAGGACGATGGGTTTTGGGTGCATATCATGCTTGTGTTGCCATACTCTATGTGTTTAGTTGCTTCTTGATAACTCGTTTGCGTGCTTATGTGGATGTATGTTTAGAAGTTTACCTTCACTATCACAACATGATACATATGCTTGTTTACTTTAGTACATTGTATATACTTGTAGATCTCAGCATGTTGTATATGCTTGTCTGCCTTAGCATACGGTATATGTTTGTCGGCTTCTGTACAATGTATATGCTTGTTTGTTTTAGCATATTGACTTACGCTTGTCTGCTTAGCATGTTAGTTATGCTTGTCTACTTTAGCGTATTGCATGCACTTGTTAATCTTAGTATGATAGTATGACGCATACATTGACATGCCTTATGTGATTTTTTTCTACTTGTGTGAGTACGTAGTCCATTGTTGTGTTACGTGGCAACTGCTTACTTTTATGTCTTGTTTAGGCCTTGTGGGTTGTTCCAACTTGGTTGGTTGAGACTGATGGTAGGGCATCATCTCTTAGGGTTTCGTGGTGACCTTGATGTGGTGACATCATTGAGGTCTTGTTTCTAGCGTCATGGGGCAATGAGTCGGATTGACTCAAGTCCTTCCTTGGGGATTGGAAGTTTTGTCTTCGTGGGCCTCAACGGCAAGGTTCTTATGCCTTTTCTTCTGAGAATTGTGGTTTTGTCTTGTGTGGCGTTAGGATT